TACGAGTTGTATAAGTTCCAATCCGGTGGATGAACACACGTTGGTTTCGGTGTTCATGCAGGGTCTTGCGGATGCTCCCGTCAAAACTCACGTGTTCCGACTTGAACTGGATTCACTAGAACAAGCATTTCCATTGCGGAACAGGGAGAATTCAGTCTGAGACAGGCTCGCGCCAGCTCGACATCATATCGTCAACCGAGACGATATGACAGCGGAGGTCCAGAGCCGATGGAACTCTGTTATGTAGAGAGCGAGAAGGCTCGCTCTACAGACTACAAGAAGTTGCAGAAATGCAACAGATGTCAAAAGACAGGACACTACGCTTACGAGTGTAGTGCCCCTCGTCCAGTGTCTCGCGACGCAGGGCGTAAAGACCGTCCACCCATGAGAAAGGGGCAGGGACGAGGGTCCGCTGTTGGTGCGAAGACGCAACAACGGGATGGACCGTCAAAAAACGGACAGGATCAGTAGGTGCGGAGCACCCTACTGGTCCAGCAACGTCAAGAGAATTTGTAGGCCTCTTGACGAAGGTTGCTCCCAACACACAAACGTTGTGCGTTGCTGCTCTAGGTAATGAATTCTCACTCATTACCTTGAAACTCGAAGTGACGACTAAGTTGTCCCTTCGAGCTCTAGTCGATTGTGGGGCGTCCAGCAATTTTGTGCGACGCCAATCGCTAGAAGATGGTCACTTTAAGTTCAGTAAATGTGACACACCTCCTACGAGGATGGCAGTACGTCTTGCGACAGGCGCATCCGTAACCGTCATGAAGCGTATAGTGAAGATCCACTATACGCTAGAAGATACCCAATATGATGAGTTTATCGTATTGGATTTGGATGACAAATTTGATGTCATCCTTGGTCTGCCATGGCTCAGAAGGTACGAACCACGGGTAAACTGGCAACATCGAACAGTAACGATGCCTGCCGCTTGTTCATCAGATGGCCATCTGATAAACGTTTTGGAGCGTCCACAAGCGTGTGGATGTACTACAAGTGAGTGAGATGGGCTTACCTATGGTACGGTCGTTAGTACGACTGCACAACACCTTAGTGTAACAAACAGTTACACTTTGGAGCAAGCTTCCGGCGGCTGTAAGGAAACACACGCTGCGCCGAAGGTCCACCACTCGAAAAAGTCGAGTGGACCGGGACAAAGATGTATCCCTAGCGGGGAAATTTTAGAAGAGAAACGATCGATCGCTCAGGTTAAGCGAAACGATAATCCTAGATCGACTGGAGAGTCTTTCGTAGAGGATCTCGCTGTGGTTGCGCAACCACAGCTAGAGGAAGTTAAGGGTACAAGTCCCGATACTACAGATACGGCGGAAATAAGTTCCCCGAAACCCGCGGGAATAAGTCCCCGGGAAACCGAAGGAATAAGTCCTTCGAGGACTGAAGGAATAAGTCCCAAGGAAATGACAGAGACCTTAAATGTCCTAGCCAATGATGGATCAGGTGTAGGCGCTTACACACTTGATCTGATTGCGCCTCCGAAGTTGACTTCGGAGATCACTCAGTTGCCAACGCTCGAACATAAAAGGTTCTTGCGTGATCTGCGTAGTGGCAAAGTCGAGCAGATCTGCGTACTTGTCGCCGACGACGAGTGTGTAGCCGACATAAGGTCTGCAACAATGTTTATTGAGAACGAGATAGTTTTCAGTAGTTCATCGATGGACGAGAGTGTCCTCGTCAAAAAGACACGGGATGAGTGATATGACTCTTAATCGTGGGAATTGCTTAAGACAAATCCTCTCAATGAAGATTTGGTTGAATTCAAGGATGAATTCCCTGAAACTGTTCCGTGCGAATTACCGAAGGATAAAGGTATTCGACACGAGGTCGAGATTAAACCAGGCTCGAAGTACTGTGTCATGAAGCAGTGGCCACTTTCTCGTGAACAAGTACTTGCGATCGACAAGTTCTTTGCTGATCGTTTAGCTGTGGGCCATGTGAGGGAATCAACTTCCCCACATAGCTCTCCGATCTTCTGTGTGCGAAAAGCAACAGGAGGGCGGCGGATAGTGCATGCATGTAACAAGTTGAATGCTGCAACGGTACCGGCTCAGACGCCGATACCGAGGAAGGACGTAATCATTGATGGTATGTCAAAGAGTACCATCTTTTCGTCCATGGATTTGATGGATTGCTTCTATCAAATCCTTATGCGAGAACGGGATATACCCTATACCGCAGTTAGCACGCCTAGCGGCATGCTCTGGGAATGGCTAGTAATGCCACAAGGGCTTAGTAATGCCCCTGCCACGTTCAATAGATGTGTATCACATCTGTTGAGACCAGCACGAGAATTCGCGTCGAGTTTTTTCGATGACGTATTCATCCATATTCGGGCTATGGATGGAAAGTCGGACGTTGAGGTTCACAGGTACCACGTCCGACAGGTTCTTACAATCATACGAAAGCATCAATTGTCTGCCAATCTCAAGAAGTGTATATTTGCAGCAAGCGAAATACCACTTCTTGGGTGCATCGTTGGTAAGAACGGTGGACGTCCTGATCCCAAAAAGATCAAGGCGATCACCGACTGGCCTGTGCCAGTTGATTTCAAAGGTCTTCGAAAATTCCTTGGGCTAGCGGCGTATTTGCATAAGTACTCACGCAATTACGCCGACATGACTGTACACTTCTCTCGTTTGTTGAAAAAGAACGAGAGGTGGTTATGAAACGCTGAATGTCAGCGATCCTTTGATGGTATCAAGCAGATCTTGATACAATCCCCAGTCCTAGCAATTGCCGATCAGGGTAGGCCAATTCAGGTGGTCTGTGATGCCAGCGATTTCGCAGTCGGCTGTGCATTAATGCAGTACGATCTTAAAGGCGTTGAACGCGTCGTCTGCTATTAGTCGTGTCAGCTGCAACCAGCTGAGCGGAACTATCCAGTGCACGACAAGGAACTCCTTGCCATGAAGTATGCGCTCGCGAAGTTCAGAGTCTATCTATTAGAAGAAAGACCCTTCATTGTTTACTCTGACCATGCGTCGTTATGCACGGCAGTAAACAGCCCGCACCTTTCACAACGAATGGCGCGGTGGTTGTCATTCTTTGCAGAATACAACATTACGGTCAAATACAAACCAGGACGACTTAACGTCGTCGCTGATGCACTCTCACGTCGACCCGACTGTGAAACAGTCGCGAAACCCAACAGTGAGACAGTCACTGTTGCGGTTATGACGTCCTTAATACCATCTTCAACGTTGTATGATGATATGAGGAGGGCGTATGCCCAAGATGGTGAGATAGTGAAGTTGTTGTCACATCTCTCCCAACCATCTCGAGAATCGTTGAAACGATTTTCGTCTGCGTATCGATCTGCATCAGATCGATACACTACTTGTAACGGTTTACTGTACTATACAGCCGTTTCTGGTGACACACCACGTGTTGTCATTCCAGATGATATTGATCTGCGTCTGTGGATCACGTTCGAGTATCACGATGCTCCTATAGGAGGACATCGTGGCCGGGAGAAAACATATCTTACGGTGAGTCGAGACTTTTGCTGGCCCCGCCAGTATCAGTTTGTGCGAAAGTATGTTCGCGCATGCGAAGTCTGCCAACGAGTGAAGTCAATTCCTTCACTGCGTGCACCTTTACAGCCTCTACCGGTTCCGGCTGAGTGTTGGGAATCCATCTCAATGTATTTCGTCTTCGGGTTACCCAAAGACGCACGCGGGAATACGGGTATTCTCGTATTTGTTGACAGATTCAGCAAAATGGTACACCTTGTGGCTGTACCAGAGACAATCACGGCAAGTGACTGTGCTTGTGTCTTTATTGACACCATCTTCCGACTTCATGGGTTGCCCCGTGAACTCGTATCAGACAGAGATCCACGATTCACTGCTGATTTCTGGCGTTCCGTGTTCAAATCACTCGGAACGCGCTTGAAGATGTCAACATCTGATCATCCAGAGTCAGATGGTCAGACGGAACGTGCCAATCGTGTCCTTGAAGAGATACTTCGAGGATACGTACACTCCTTTAAGAGTTGGAGTGAGTTTTTGCCGATGGTAGAGTTTGCCATCAACAACTCGGTGCATGCGTCCACGACACATACACCGTTTTACGTGAATGGCTTGCGCCATCCGCGTGTACCCACCTTACTAGAGTGTAACTCTGGTTTAAGGGGGGGAGGGACTCGCGCGAGCAAAAGACAATTTGGTTCACGCTCATCACGCTCTGACGAAGAAGTCATTGCGTTTGATGCCGATATCGATAACATCGATATCGAAGAAGATGATGCCAGTAAGAGTGCGGAAGCCCTCACTGAAGAAGATGATCCCAGTGAGAGTGCGGAAGCCCTCACTGAAGAAAAGATTGATGTTGCTGCAGTGCGCTCACAGCACACTGAAGCTAACGAGTCATCAGATGAGTTCATACTGGCTCGTGAAACGGTAGTCCGTTTTGTGCAAGACTCCATCGCCGAAGCGGTGGATAAGCAAAAGCAAAACGCTGACAAGAATGGAAGGGCAAACACTCTTTTATTTAATAAAGGTGACTTAGTCCTACTGTCTACGGTTAATCTACCAAAGCATGTAGTGACTAACTTGGGTAGCAGTAAACTACTACCCAAGTACATTGGCCCATTTCGTGTATTGCACCGCCTAGGCAATGCATACACGATCGAGTTACCACGTAAGATGCGAACGCATCCCACGTTTTACGTTGGTCGGCTTAAGCCGTACCATCAGTACGCTGCTTCTTACGATGAAGAACGCCCTTGCGCTCAAGCATCTCGCAGAGAGCCTTGTGCCCCCGATGATGGGCATCGACAAGGGTCTGGAGAGCATTTATCTCACCCCGAGACCGATCAACAATCCCACGAGCTACCCTTAGCTCGTCACGAAGAGATGTCAGAGATCTCTCGTTCTCAAGCTGAACAAAGGCAAACTCAGCTCGATGCTTCAAGACAGTGTCCGCCATTTGGAGACGCCTGTCCCGCTCATGTTCGAGATCACCGCGTAACCCTTGCGTTACGCGATCAAAGAAGCTCTCGGAACACACGGATCCCCACGATCGTGTGGAGAGCTTCTTTCCTCAGCCTCCACCTCCATTAGAGGACTCTCGCGGTGTCCAGCGCTATCTAGTTGAGCAGCTGTTGAACCACCGCGACGTGAACGGACGTCGGACGAGTTATCTCGTCCGGTGGCGCGGCTATCCCCCGTCCTGGGATTCTTGGGAGCCCCGCTCCCAATTGATGGTTGACGTACTGGGTTTGGTAGAGCAGTACGACGCGGCACATCCTGTGCCGCAGAAGGACCGCCGGAGAAAGTCTTCCCGGCACGGTCGTAAAGGGATTTCAGGTTGTCAATCCCTTCGTACATCTCAGTAGAGACACGTACGCGCCACCACGGGCTGGTAAGGAGGTAAGCCTCCTTAGGTGCTCGTGCAGAGTTGTTCACACAACATGGGCACGAGTCTCCCCAAGAGAGGCAGGGTAATCCCTTCTCCCTTGACAGACGATGCAGCTTGTAGCGTGCACCTGTCGGGGTTCGCTTTTCAAACTTATCACGAGCTTTGATAAGTTTGTCGTTCCAAGCGTCACGACCTACATCCTCGAGGCTATGGATGTAGGCGTTCCACGCCTGAAGTAGCGAGGGACCATCACGCTTGTGATTCCCACTGTACCATCGATGTCTAAAGAAAGCATCGATGAAGAATTCATGCTCAGTGTGATAGCCTTTCGCACTGGGATCAAGGTGATGAATCCTTGATGAATCGAACAATTGTGTTCGATAGCGATCACTTGTCGTCACCGACAAGCGATCCATGACTGACATTGGAGGCAGCCATGCTTTTTTTTCAGAAGCGAGACGCAACACGCTGCGGTCCCGCTCTTCCTGCGACGTACCGACAGAAGTACTGGCACCTTGTTGCGAAGTGGTGTCCATAGGAGAACCGACACCACTGTAAGCGCCCGAGTCTCGCGATCTCGAGCGCCTTCGCTTTGGCGATGGTTCATCTAATTCATCGGATTAACCAAAGATGCTACGACGCGTAGCATCATCCATGCCACGCTTGGCAGGCGGCTTGGATTCGATCGCCGTCGATACGGATCCGTCTTCCGTATCAGGACAGTAAGAGACACCGAGCTCATACTCTGTGAAGACATGAGTGTCTTCATGACGAGCGCCTGCATCACCAGATGACACAGGCTGGGTCGCTTCAGCAACCGATGAGACATATGTTGCTGCGGTTTCTGCTTCGGCGTCTGCACAGAGACATGCAGACGCGCTCTCGGCGGCCTTGCTCGCGCACCGCATGGGCTTGTTAACCATGCGATGAACTGCTGGAAAGTGGACTTGGACCGACAAGTGCAAACCCTATCCCAAATGATTTGGGACGAGTATCCATTTAGTCAATCAGTCACTAAAGTGACTGATGGTTAAGGGGGGGGTGATGTAACGGGGTGAATCGTTACATAACAATTTATAAGAAAATTGTTAATAGAATATAACTGTAAAAGTTATATTTTCGGAATATTGTCATAAGGACAATATTCTGTAGCACTTACGAGTAGTTACTAATTGGTTGATATAGGCCATTATATCAACCAACGAAGACGCGCAACGACAGACGCACGCAATGAGTGGTGAGCAGATAGTTGATATACACATTTGTGTTTAGACATAGTTAGATGAAGATAAACAGTGTTTTATTAACAGACATGAACTATTATAAAGTCAGTTCTACTTTTTACTTTAACCAAGTACTCGCTTCTCCTTACCGTCTTCCTCTGCACGTACGAGTGTACGTGAAGTTACGCGGCACCGCCCTATTCTGTTGTCAGAATAAGTAGCTTGTACTGTCATCAGTACAAGCTTCAGGGTGCCCCGTTACATTGTAACAAGATGGTGTTGCGTACAACGATGTCCTGCGTCTATTGGGAAATTGTGCGTTGGGACAGTGCAAATCCAATTGGCGGACGACTATGATATAACGAATGGTTAGGAAACCAAGCTTGTAGTTGTGGGAGCTTTCAAATACGGATGTTTCAAAGCTGCTTTTTGTACATGTTTTAAGTACCACAACAAGTAGGTGAGACCGACACAGAAAGCTACACGCTAATTCACTTTCCATTTTGTGCCCCAGAAGACAAGCGGGTATTTAAGTGTTATATAGTTTACATTGCCGGAGTTGCCGTCCTGCAGTACTGGCCTTCATTTTTATAGTGGTGTCCAGCACTTGCTCTTGTACACCACCGTCAAATCACTCTTTATTTTCCCCCTGTTGGTATGAGTAGGAGATGCAAATGACGTTTTAAGTCAGTGCAAGCACTCGTCGATCGCAGATTTTAGGGGTAACCAGTCAGGCAGCGCTTCGGCACTCTCAATGAGCCATTTTTTTTACCGGAGTCAATGATACGTAACGCGACGCCTGGAAACTCGTTGGTGATACCAACCACAAATTTAGCCACCCCGCTCATCTGGAACCGCACAACCGACAGAAGAAGGTCGGGACAATTTAATCGTCATATTTATTTGGATTTACTCGTAATGATAGAAATGTTGTAGTGCTATTAACCCTTCGCCTCTCTTGTGCCTTCAATGTGCTGCAAAAAGCAGAAGCGCACTGCACTAATCCTTTGCTAGCTAGAGCAGCTCATCGGACGTCGATTTTGTCTTAGCAGCAGGCTGGTAAAAGCAATAGCGAGCCTTATCGTCAGGTACAGTTAGCACCGGGAAGAGTTCCGTAGCAAAACGATCCGGTAGCTTTTCGCTGAGTCGTACGTAGCGTCATGCACGCAACTTCAGTTGAAGTGCTTTTTTAGCACTGCGTTGGGCTTACATGATATGTCCACGCATTTAACGCAACACCAAAAATACGAATGCCTGTACGGTTCTGCGTGCGCTCCGGTCAAAGAAAAGGTTGCCGAGTATTTAGAATCCACCCTTGACGCCTACAGTCCTGTTACACGGTCGCGCGAATCCCTTCACCCCTCGTATTGCTGGACATCTCGAGATCGGTGCATCCAGAATTGCTACACTTGATTCCATGACAAGCATGAGTTTCAGTCAAAACTCGCTTGCCTCAATATCTTCTTGGTCACCTTTGTGTCCAGAGTTCGCGGCCAGCTGAAGTCGACGGCAACAACCTGTTTGAAAGCTCAACTTCAAGGACTATATTTCGTAGTTTGTGTCGGCGATGGTATAATGACATCAAGCCGATCTTTCGATAGAGGTGTTACACCTCCTGTCCGAAAGATGTCCGTGACAGAATCACCTCGGTCGACACACCCAATAGTCAGTGGCGCCAGCTACCCGTGATAGCTGTCATGACAATCGATTGAACGTTGATCGGGGGTAGCTAGTGAAAGCTACCTCCTCTCTACCTAATGCGCTTCCAGATGCACACGACGCGGTCATCATTGTCCGTCGGTACAATACGACGGACAGGGGAAGGAAGGCAACAGCTGAAGGTGGCCATTAGTGTGGGTACGGTGTGTGCAAAGTACGCAACCTAAAGACGAGCTCCGCACCTTACCCGTCGCTCTTTACTAGTCGTCTAGGACCACTCGGACTTGCTCAAAGAAGATAAGGTCAATGGTTGAAATGTGGATGGGCAATTATAGGCTTCATCTAGCCATTATCTGACACGGCGCAGCCTATATGAGCGACAGGGGGTGTCGTCGCGCGTGACGCTGAAGCAGCAGGTAACGACTATGACCGAGACATCCACTGTGTTTCCAAACTTTTACGAGCTGCAGAGATTAAGCTGTAGCAGAATGAGACAAATAGCTTGACAGGTGAGGCATAATAAACAAATGAGCGGGCGGCAACGTCAGAAGGTGGTGGTGCCCCCATTTTGTCAGCTCAAATCCGTGCAGATGTACGCAGATTTTCATTTTGATCCGTTCGCTGTTGCATAGATGTGTGCAGAACGCGAAAGTGATGCACGCAGCTCTGACAGACACTACGGAGCTCATAAAACAATAATTTCGACATGGGCAACTCAAAAAGATTTGAGCAGTGGTCTCGGGCCCATTGGACGTGCTGTTAGCATGGCAAAGCGGACAGCGACGGAAAAAAAGCGTTGGGTATTCGAGCTCGACGGTTGTCTCGATAACACTTTACAATGTGGCGCTATCTCCATAAAGGGATACCTCCTGAACACAACTGCGCTTGTGGTTGCGTATTACAATAGCTGTGATGTAATGGGGCACCCTTTGTTTGGGGTGCCGCGAAACTTCACGTACACTAGTACGTGCAGAGGAAGCTACATTACTTCAGAGACTCGTAAAATTAAGGGTAAAAAGAGAATTGTATTGTACATAGTGAAGCTATCAATTTAACTTTAGTCTGTATCTAACTACACTAAACTACGCCGTCGTATGACGACAACCTGCTGACAACTCATTGCGCGCGTCTAGCAGTGATTAGTGGCAATCTATGGTTGATATGTCTAATATCAACCAAACTTGGACCAGCGCATAAATATTTTTATCTTGGATAATATTCCTTCAACATTATCAATCTCGGATACTATTGGTAAAATACTGTCATTCTTGACAATGTCTCTGTTGACACCTTTTGGTGTCAATATCATGTAACGGGCTACCCCGTTACATCACCCCCCTTAACCATCAATCACCTGTTGATTGAATTAGAATTGACTGGGGTGACCACCGCAATATCACCCTGGGAAAGGGAGCACTTGATGGTCAAATCCCATTCATTTGCCAATCCAACGCATGGTTTCGAAAACCACACGAGCTGCTACTGCAGCAGCAAGAAGGGCGGCTGCACGCATGCGTGCAGCCGCGGTAGGTGCCTCTTACACCTCAGCAGCAGGTGATTCGTCGCCTGTTGTTGTGAATCCTCCATGTGCGACAGGTACATCCGTTGCGTCTGCAGCGGGTATTACGAGTCGTAATAAAGATGAGTCTGAGATAGAGCTTATCTATTCTGGCGAGTCTGATGATGCAACGGACTCGAAGGCGACTCCTCACGTCTCCGGATCACCCGGGCGGACACTACAAGAGCTAGGATGACTCGCTCTGGTCAACGCGGCGGTATCGTGACCAATATATTCGACTCGAGTGATTATTCCGATTAATCGCCGCCCCACGCAAATTCATTCAGCGATAGGACGCGTGAGAATAATGGTGGTGAACATATACACCACCACAAGCGAAGCAACCCAAGGGATCGGGATGTCACTGGTGTCAGCGCTCACGCTGGCACCAATCAAGAGGCCAGGGACCGAAATGTTCTGCGCCACGCTCCTTAAGTGGAGTCTCCGTGGATGCCGCCATTCAGAGATTTGGACCGGTTGGCCGGCAAATCTACTGAACGGGATCGAATCCCGTTGTTCGATTGCAGGAATATCTGCCCACCTGATTCCAGCGCGGAAACTATCCGTGCTGAGGAAAGATTCTTCAACGATGCGTTTTGAAACATTGGTGATACAATGGCAGACGTGTTCGAGACGGCAAAGCCTTGGTGCAAGGATGGAATGACCTTATCCATAACATCGTGTATAGTGGCCCTGAGGCTTGGCTCGCCAAACTTAATGCATCTCGCATCAGATTTGAGAAGCGCAACCCCGTCGGGGCGCCATACAAGTTGCACCGGCTTTCAACAGAGGCAAGATTACCCTGTAACTCGTAGGGTGATTGGTGCCCAGGTTGCCTGGAAAAGTCGAACCGTGCCCCTAGGGAGGCCTACCTCCCTAATGATCCCTACTAGAGAGCGCGCATCTCTTACGAGATGGCCGAAGAGACCGACGCTTTGCAACCCTTTGTACTCGCGTTCGGGGAGGTCGTTTTACGACGGCCCTTATTCAAACGGAGCAGGTGAGTCTCATCGTACAGCTCGACGAGACCAAGGACAACAACATTCAGCTGGGAACGAGGCTCCCAGCTGTCCCACGCCGGTAGATAGCCACGCCA